GATGCAGACGCGCTGTCGGATATAGACGACCCTTCCGGATTTAGCCCCTGCGGCAGACGCCCCGAACCTCGCCAGAGACCCCTGCACCCACTTCGTCGACGCAGAGATAGGACCTCGAGCCTGTGGTCTTCAGAGCACTATCACTCCCTCCCATGAAAATGCTACCGGACAGGATGAAGATGGCGTATGACGAGTAAATGGCACCGCCCTGGGAATAGGTTTGAATATCACCCCTGCCATAGATTTATTATTAGTAATTATAGGAAGGAAAGCAATGGTCACGTATACCGTATAATCGTCCAAATAACTTTATGAGGTCATATTTGAAAGGGGAATTCACATTTTCCATATATCGCTTCGTCTCCTATTGTATGCAAAAAATAAGTAACATTCGAACATATATTGCTAAATTGCATAAAATACATGTTTTTATACAAGATCACACTGCTGAAAACAATGAATTACTGAAAAATAATACAATAATAAAATTCAAGAGCGGAAATTCTTTCTGGTGTTGGTATTTCCTATTTACTCTTCCTGATGTTGAACAGAGCTTTTCTAAACTGTATACAATGTGCAATGCCATTCGTTCATGCTTGACAGTTTCATACAACATGCCTTTCTTTATATTTAGAATAGCGTGAATTTTCTATTCTTACACAATCGAAAGAGGAGTCGTGTGTTTCTTCTGAGCTGCAGAAACAAACATTTCTCTGTCCGTCTAGAATGGTGTTTACACTTCAGTCAAGAGAAAAGGTCACCAAATTTCACCTATAATAATGATGAAATTTTGTGAAAACAATACATGTACAGAATACGACGCAGTTTGAAAATCAAATATGATAATATAATCACTCATACAATAATGAAACGGTGAATGACGTGTGCGCTGCAATCGGAAACTATACAATTTATACTGATAACCGGTAAGCTACCGCTCATCCTTTACTCATTTTCGAATGAATTGTTTCATGTCAAACTTATAATATTCGACGTGCAAAAAATGCAGCAACCTCGCGAATGTTTCTAAATCAATAATTTTTATCTTACAACATTCCTATATTCCAGATTTATTCATTTCTTTAGTATAATGACTTGAGCTTAAGAGTCTAAGAGTCAATGTTAGAACAAGCATGGCCTCATCATCAGGCCTTTGCAGTGTATCATCGCCAGATTACATTTGCTACTTTCCCACTTCTGTTTGCTAGCCAACGACATCCGCTCAGCAACCGATGCAAGATAGCCAGCCCACGCAGCCATCGAGTTTTCGCACTACTCTCGCGCCCTTGCGCCTGGCCTCATCCGCCATCTGCCAGGCTTCCACAGGGAACGCCAACGCGGCAGGATCTGCGCCCAGCGCCAACCTGCCTCTTCGGGTCGCGTTGCTATCGCCCGCGCAGCGCCGGCGGCTGGCGACTTCCGCCAGGCGGCAATCTGCCCCGACCG